GTTAGTATACATATATACACACACACACACACACACACACACACACATATATATATATACATATAACTAGTCGTTTGCCAGATTACACCGATGCAGATACACAAGCATCGCACGTCTGGATGGAGACCACATGTTCCGTACAGATACATCTCGATCCATTCTGGGAGGCATATAAGCGTATGGTCATATATATTACCCGTATGGTCATATATATTACCCGTATGGTCATATATATTAACCGTATGGTCATATATATTAACCGTATCGACATATATATTAACCGTATGGTCATATATATTAACCGTATAGACATATATATTAACCGTATGGTCATATATATTAACCGTATGGTCATGTATATTATATATCACTGCTGCACAAACGCATTCCCCATCCACGCACACACCTCATCGAATATCACCCATCCGACATCGCGCACCAGATCGGCTCCTCTGTATAACATTGACCGCAGAATCTCTGTGGTCATGATCAGACACGACGCCTCCGGGTTTATTTGCACATCACCTGCAACGGTGAGCGTATACGCAGAAGGCAGTGAGTGAGTACATGACATCAGTCACTAGTAAACCCTACAACCCTATACGCAGAAGGCAGTGAATGAATACATGACATCAGTCACTAGTAAGCCCTACAACTTTATACGCAGAAGGCAGTGAATGAGTACATGATAGTCACTCTCTGAGTGGTGGGGTAGCAATTGAGGTAGAAATACGATGGTACAGAATACTGCATCGAGTGTGGTACACCTATTTTTTTTTGGGCTACAGTAGCACCTGCACCTATTTTTTGGGCAACAATAGCACCTACACCTATTTTGGGGTAACAGTAGCACCTGCACCTATTTTTTTGGGCAACAGTAGCACCTACACCTATTTTTTTGGGTCTACAGCAGCACCTGCACCTATTTTTTGGGCAACAATAGCACCTACACCTATTTTGAGGTGACAGTAGCAGCTGTACCTATTTTTTGGGGTAACGTAGCACCTGCACCTATTTTCTGGGCAACAGTAGCACCTACACCTATTTTGAGGTAACAGTAGCACCTGCACCTATTTTTCAGGGTCACAATACCACCTATCCCATTCGGCGTAGAGACTACCCGTACATAGCACGCACCTGTGAGCAAGCCAACGTCCTCAAACGTATCCTTAAAGTCGCGGAACTTCTGATTGGACAGGGCCTTGATGGGGGACGTGTAGATAGCTCTCATCATGTGTTGCGCCGCTAGTGCTATAGCGTACTCAGCCACGACTGTCTTACCCGCAGACGTGTGGGCTGCTACGAACACGGACTCGTTGGCTTCGAGGCGTAGTATCGCCTGTGAGAGGAGAGGATTTGGGGCAGGTTAGGAGTGAGCGAGAGAGACATGCTAGATACTGCAGGGGAGCTATAAGAAACCGGTGACACTAGGTATGTGTTTGAGGATATGGGATAGATTGGGAGTGTGTGAGAGAGATATGCTAGGTAAGGCATGGGGGTTATAAGAAACTGGTGAAACTGTCTATAAATGGGATGTATTTATTTTTAACTGAAAGGCAATGACAACTAATAATATATGCGACACATACGTTGCTTGTGATGGTAGCTGTATTCATGCACAGATGTGCGTACGTCTATTTGTATTTGTTTAAAGCATAAATACAGGTGTATATATGTGAACATGTGTATGTATAATAGCATGGATAGAGGTGTTTATATGTGAACATGTGTAGAATATTCATAATAATAATAATAATAATAATAATAGTAATAATAATAATATGTAATAATATAGTAATATATTAATATAATTATATAATAATGAAATACTATAATGATGTAATAATATAATAATATATATATGTATATATATATATATATATACATATATAATATATATATATATATATATATCACAATATATATATGTACATATATATATAAAATATATAGTATATACTATATATATG